TGTTATGTAAATACCAAGGGCAGATTTGTCCTTTCATGTAACTAGCATAACCTATAAATATTAAATAGAAGTGGCGGCGGCAGAACATTTAGATTCTATCCTTCCTTTCAATTCTTGTGTTCTACTGCTCTCTCTCTACTCTTTCCCCTCTCTCCTCTATACTTTTTCTCCTTTTTTGAACCTGAAATTTATTAGGGTTCAAGACTGATAGCAGTCTTGAACATCTACTACACCCAATTGACAATTGCATCCAACTCTCCGCCAGATATTTAGTTTCCCTCATAATATGTCAGTATTGCCAAGATGTTTAGTCCTTATTTCTCAACTTGCCTACTACAACCTTGGAAGATCCTTCGGCCACTAGGTTTCTGAAATTGAATAATATTCTCATCTTCAACTCACCACTAGATTTCTATCTTAAGAATATGAGATTAAAGATTTAGGAAGTTTCAAATATTTCTCAACGTTGTAGTAGCCATATAAAGGAAAACACATCTTCATCTCACAGAGAAACTACATTCTAGATTTGTTGAAGGATATAAAGAACCAAGTTCTAAACCGAGGGATATGCCTATAAATCCAAGCATGGACTCAATGTTCATGAAGGGGAATTGGTAGTAGATGAAGGAAAATTCTAGAAACTTGTAGGGTGTCTGCTCTACCTATTGTTGACCAAGCCAGGCATTACTTATGCCATGTGTGTGATCATTTAGTATATTTATACTCTGTGTGTTCCACGCAAAGACGTTGATTATTCTTAGATATTTAAAACATTCTCCTAGAAAAGGACTTTTCTTTTCAAATCATAGTTATCTGCAAGTAGAAGTACATACTGATGCAAATTGTGTTGGGGCTATAGATGATGGATTATAGACTCCTTGTTTTTGTACTATTGTTGGTGGAAATTTAGTAACACTGAGCAAGAACAAATAGTTCTTGCTAGATTAAGCAATGAATCTATATATAGAACCATGGTTCCTCGTTTATCTAAGCTAATTGTAGCTTACACTACTAGCTACTACTAGGAGAACTTGGTGTATTTGCAGGTGGCCCTATGAAGTTGTAATATGACAATAAAGCTCCCATAACTCATAATTCCATTCATTGTACAGAACCAAACATGTTGAGGTTGATCTCATGAGGGAGATCAAGAAGTAATGCTTTCTGTTTGTGAAGACTAAAGGCCAGCTTGTTGATTTCCTAAAGATGTTGCCATAACCAAGTTAAGGTGTACTTTGGGTAAGTTAAGCATGATCAATAATATATGCTCTGTTTAATAAGAGTTCAGAGATATTAAGTTCTAATGTATAGGAAGCATATTCGTAAGATCACATATTATTTGGTAATTATATTATTTTATAATGCATGAATATGCCTGTCAGAAGAGTTTCTTTCTTCTCTATCACGTTCTTCTTCTTAGAGCAATGGTTCTGTATTATAACTTGAAAATGATTATGGGAAGCACAACATGGTACTTCTTAGCAAAATCATTTGCATGATAGGCTGATAGTAATCAAGATAGACTCGGAACAGCAGTGAAACATGAAACAAAGTGTTTAAGTACACTCTCATAAGAGATGCAACATTATGAATATAGAAAGAAGTTCACAATCTCGAAATGCAATTCCAAAAGAACCCTAACCCCAGGTATCCACTTAAATGTGATCAGACAGATTAAGTGACGAACCATTATATCAGAACTGCAATGAGAAAAATCACACAATATTCATGACTACTAATATGGCACAGTTTGACATATACTTACACGTTTCCCATCCATGACAGAAAATGAATAAGCAGCCAACTTTGATATTCCTTGGACCTGTGACAAACGAGGTATGTGTGCTTTCCCTTGCCACAATTCCTTACACTGAAGAAGAATGAAAAGATTAACAAATCTGCTATATTACTAGAAAACCTGTTTAGAAGACCACCAAGCATGCAAATTGTGCAGCAAGTTGGTGTATCTGTGAGAACACAGAAAACCAATTGTTTCTAGGAGTACAAAACCTACAAAAAAAATTTCCTGGTTAACAAGAAATTTTTTATTCTGAATTCTCAACGCACATGAAAGAAAACCATCCAGAGACAGCTCATACTGCAGGAAACCTCACTCTTCTACTTTTTTTTTTTTTTTATCAGCAACACAGAAAATTGATTCATTAGATTAAAAATGCATATACAACAAGAAGTTGTGGGCAGAAACAAGAAGCCCAAGAGAAACTATCCCACTATTTACAAAACAGCCCAGAACATAGAATTTCTCTGAATCCCGTGCATGGCTAAACCATCAGCCATACTGTTTGCAGATCTCCTAATCCACCTTATTTGGATCAACATGTCTTTAGATATCCGATTGAAGCACCTGAGCTTATTCCTTAGATTCATATTACCTTCCCCCCCCCCCCCTTCTTTTCAGCCAACCCACAATTTTTGAATCCCCTTCAATAATCAGCCTATCAATTTTTTATCAACCTCACTCTTCTACTTTTCCTAGCTTGAGTTGAATTTATAATGACAAATGTCTTACATTTCAACGTGTTCCACACATTAATTAATAGTAGTAGGATTAAGGCTTTTTTTTTTAATTTATCTTCATTAATGCTGTTATATGGTCTGGGCCCTTAATGGGCTCTGCTATTTTTTATCTTCTATTATGCTTCTTATTGCTGCTGCCCAGTATGGGAAGATTTGTCCTTATCCTTTTTTATTGTAATGCTCCTCTTATAATGAACAAAAGAGGACACACAACCGGTTCAGTTTTGCTCCCCAAAATACAATTTCTCTCTCAACTACGTCTTCTTTTTCAGCATTGTTACTAGTTTATTATCTCTTGAATCAATTAGTTTCGATCCCCAAAATCAATTAGTTTTAGACTGATTATAGCATTTGGATCTGATTCTAAGAAGTCAAGTTGGTAACAAAGCAAACCCTCTTCTTTTCTCTTTGAGTTTCTCCAATGCATCACTAGGATCAGCAGTGTGCATGGAGAATTGAAGTTTCTGATCATCAGAGTTCATTTCACCTGATGTTTAGAATATTTTTGGATAATACATTGACTCAGTTTGCTGCCTAGAAGTGAGGTCTAGAGAATTCTGCCCAAAAATCAAGAAAAATCAGAAAATTCATTGCATTGGTTGATCGAAGGTCTTGGAACCAGATCAAAATGATTCAGTAGAAGCATGATGGATGGGTTGAAAGATACAGGTAAGCTGGGTGTTAAGCTTCTAGATACACCTACCTATCCTAACCATGGACTATCTGCATCTCTGATGGGGAGTTGCTCCAGAATTGAGGCATGTTTAAGAGACTTGTTGGCAGATTGCTATACTTATGCATTACTAAGCCTGGTACTAGTTATTCTGTGACTGTTATAAGTATATGCACTCACCCAAAGATATACATTTGGTTGTAGCAGAGGATACTTGCATATTTGAAATGACAGCTTGGGAAGGTATTTTTATATTCTAATCATGGCTACATGAAGATAGAGGGGTTTATAGGTGCCAATTGGCTAGATCAATAGATGATAGGAGATTCACATCTAGTTACCATACGCTAATTGCAGGCAATCTGGTTTCTTGGAGAAACAATAAATAGTTAGTTGTTAGCTACCTAGTCAAGTGTTGAGACTGAATATTGGGCTATGGTGCATGGAGTTTTAGAGATGCTATGGGTTTGGTCTTTTCTCGAAAATTTGAGGATATTTTATGAATTATGATATACCTATGTAGCTCTATGATAATAGGAGGTCGTAAGCATAGCCCATAATCCAGTTCAGCATGACAGAACTGAGCATGTAGAGGTTGACAGAGACTTCATTAGAGTGTGTAGTTTCAGGAGAAGTTATACACTGTTTAGAAAGGCTATTTATGTTAGCAAATGTTATGTGATAGTGGTAAAATCCACAACATTGAACAGCCAATTTTCCATTATCAATGCTTAGGTTGGTTTGTCCTAGAGCCCTGATATGTGCCATTAAATGCCCTTACACAATCTTGTACCATGTCATGCAAGATTATGTGGTAACCTAACATAGGGGCTGGTACATAGAAGGCAAGGTCAATGTGTAGCAGTGCTTCAAAATACAACAAAGTATGCTCTGAATCCATAAGAAAATCCAGAATGAAGTTGCTGGTTTTCTTCTAGTACCAAAGAACTACTAAAAACAACAAAGGAAAAACAGAAATCACGAACACTGATTTCAAAAGGAGAAGAAAAGAAGCTACGTAGAAGAATAGAAATTAACTCACTCAATTTGTGTTCCATTCTCCTGTTAACTCCTAAAAGTTTAGAAAATTAGCAATTACTAAAACTACTAATGGCAGATCTTCTAAAAAATTGGACACCTCTAGAGATAACAGCTGGCTAAAAAATAGATACTAGAAATTTAGAAACTGCTGCCAGCTTCTAAATTTGGATACAGCCATTTGGTTCCTCCTTATCTTATATGTTTTAGTAACTTTGGGATGTTCAAATTCCTCAAAAAATTGATATATTGTATCTTTTATTGCTGTTGAGGGTTGAACTATATCACGACCATTTGCCCAGTAGCAATAACGTTGGGTGAACATGAAGACAGGAATTGGAATCCAATGCATACCTGGAAGTTGACTCAGCAAAATAAAAAGAAAATATGGTCTCGGAACACATCCATAAATTTGGTAACTGAGGCATCCACACGGTACTGCCATCCTGAATCTGCATACAGCTGGCCACACTTGCATCTTGTTGAGTGGGCTGATTTATGTTGGGCCGATTTATGTTTAGTTTGTTTTCTTTTAAATTAAGAAGTTGTTGGGCCTTGGGCCCATTAGTCTTTTATTTTTAAAGGAATTGTAAGTACTTAGTTGATTTGTTGCCCTACTAGGGGCATCTTTGTAATATCCCATATTTAAGTTAATTATAAATAGAATGAGGGGCTGGCGGCTAGGGTTGTGATCACTATCCTAGTTGACCTTCTCCTTTTCTTCCCTTTCCTCTATCTATTGCTGAAATCCCCAACTTTCTCCTCTTCCTTTCACAAGAAGCTTGGCCGAAATCAGCACATTAGGCTTTCTACTTGGTATCATAGCAGGTTGAAGGTTCTTGAAGAGATTCATTCCTGCAGCCCTAGATCGGCCGACTGCATGGAGATTTAAGAGGCTGATCGAAGCTCTCAGGTAAGCCCAGTTTTTGGATTTTCTTGATGGATCTGTATGCCCTGTAGCTGGTCTAGGGTTTCTCATCAGAATCAGGAAAAACTAGAGAAAGGGGAAGAGTCCTGATTTTGTTGGACTCTTCAATTTTGACCTAGGTAGTGGTGCCCTAATTTTTTAGGGTTCCTCTAGGTTTTTTGTAAGGGACGATTCAAGTTCCATGTGGTTTGGAGGCTTCTTGCTGCATTTTTTGGTTGTTTTTTGTACCTCTTTCGAGACACATGGAGGGACAGAGTTGAATATAAGCTCGAGAATGAAATGGGACCAGTGGGAGGAGGTGCTGGAGACCCCTTCGGAGCTGGGACCATTACTAYAGTTAGGTTGGATGGTACAAACTACTTGGAATGGTCCCAATCTGCAAAGATGGCCATTGGGGCTCGTGG